AGAGAGGGGGCTGTGATCATGAAGGGAGGCCAAGCAGGCTGGGCTCTGGGACTACCATCCACTTTTTCTTCAAACAGAATAGCTTAGCCTTCATCAGTTTCATCATTTTCATATACCAGTAACAAACAACTAAACTCCCATAATTTTCAGAAAAGGATGCCATTTACATTATCAATAAAATATGTGGTTTCTAGGAATAGATCTACTATATATAAGCCAGACTTGTATGTATAAAATTATAAAACTTTACTGAGTAGCATTAAAGGAGAGGCAGGTAAATGGAGAGATACACATAGTCCTTTTTAGGAACACTTACTATTGTAATTATCTCTCTACCTAGCCCTTGACACGTCTTGTTGAGCTATAGATCTGATGCAAGGGTGACCCTAGCCCCAACAAGTTTTTTGCATGGAATTGTTCCATGCAAAGTTGATTTTAATATTTATGTGGAAGATAAGAAGACCAAGAATGTCTAAGATACTTATTTTTTAATTTTTAAAAAGGATATTTATGTATGTATGTATGGATGTATAGAGCACAGGGAGAGGGAGCGAGAGAGCCTTAGCACAGAGCTGGTTGTGGAGCTTAATGTCATCACACTGAGATCACCTGAGCTGAAATCCAGAGTCAGATGTTTAACCGACTGAGCCACCCAGGCTCCCCTAAGCTACTTCTGAAGATAAAGGAGGAGCTACTAAGACTAAATATTAAGATTTATTATAAACCTACAGTAATTAAATCTGTTATTAACAAGGCATAGACCAATTAACCAATACCATAGAATAAAGAACCTAGAAACAGAAGCCTGCATATGTGGAAATATAATATATGATGGAAGTAGCATGGCAGATCAGTAGAGAAATGGAGCTGGGACAATTGATCGTCTAGATGGGGATGAAATTGGTTCCCCATCTTATATCATGTATAAAAATTTCAATTTGACATGAAGAATTTGAACATCAAAAGAATATTTTTATATTTTTATTTATTTATATATATTTATATATTATATAAATTATACTATATATTTATATTTTATTTATATTTATTATATTTATATTATTTATTTATTTATATTTTTATATGAAAATATGGATAAATATTTATTTTGACATCAGAGTACTAAAAAGCATTTTTAAAGCAAAAAAAATCAGAAAATAATCACAATGATTAACCATAAAATGACAGGCATAAGATAAATTTTGATAAATTCTACCAAATTAAAATTAAGAACTACTCATTAAGAAGTTTAATGTGAAAATGTGGTATATCAACCGATAAAGGAACAGCATCAAGACTATATAAAAACTGGGGCGCCTCGGTGGCTCAGTGGGTTGAAGCCTCTGCCTTCAGCTCAGGTCATGATCCCGAGGTCCTGGGATCGAGCCCCACATCGGGGTCTCTGCTCGGCAGGAAGCCTGCTTCCTCCTCTCTCTCTGCCTGCCTCTCTGCCTGCTTGTGATCTCTGTCTGTCGGATAAATAAATAAAATCTTAAAAAAAAAAAGAATATATAAAAACCTTATGAAAATAAAAAGACAAGTCAATAGAAAAAACAGACACAAAAATACAAATAGGCATGTCACAGGCAAAGAAACATACATGGTTAAAAAACATGAGATGCTTAGCTTCACTTCTATTTCAGTAACTGCAAATTAAGATCATAGTGAGATAACACTATATTGTGGTAAAATACACATAAAATTTATCATTTTAACTATTTTAAAGTGTACAATTCAATGACGTTAAGTACCTTCACAATATTGTATAATGACCATCACTATCTAGATTCCGATCTCTTTCATCACCCCAAGAGGAAAACCCTTATCTTCTAAGCATTCAGTCTCCATCCCAACTTTCCCCTAGCTCCTGGCAACCACTAATCTCCTTTCCATCTCTATACATTTGTTTATTCTGGATATTTTATATAAATGGAATCTTCATTTTGCAGTCTTTTGTGCCTGGTTTCTTTTATTTATTTATTTTTAAAAGATTTTAGTTAATTATTTATTTATCTGTCAGGGAGAGAGAGAGTGAGCGAGCATGAGGAGGGGAGTGGCATGCAGAGGGAGAAGCAGGCTCCCTGCTGAGGAAAGAGCCCGATGCAGGACTCAACTCCAGGGCCCAGGATCATGACCTGGGCTGAAGGCAGTCGCTTAACAGACTGAGCCACCCAGCATCCCTGGTTTCTTTTATTTGGCACATTGTTTTACCCATGTAGGGTCTACCTATGTGATAACATGTATCAGTGCTTCATTCCTTTTTATGGCTGGATAATATTGCATGGATTTACCACGTTTGTTTATCCATTCATCAGAGTATAGACATTTGGGGTGTTTCTACCTTTTGGCTATTGTGTGTAATGTTTCTATGAACGTTAAGTGAGATAATATTTTATACTTATTTAACTGGCCAAAAATTAAGGAGCTAATACCAAGTATTGGAAAGACTTCTTTAATACTATGTTGTGATGGGGATGTAAATTTGTTTAACCATGTTGGAAAACAACTTAGCATTATCTTGTGAAATTGAACTTTCATATCCTCTATGATCCAGCAATGTCATTCCTAGATACATAGCTAGAGAAACTTTAGCATGTAAGTACCAGAAGATTTATACAAGAAAGTTAATAGTATGCTCCTTAGAGCAAACAACTTGAACCACTCAAAGTTCACCAATAGCCATTTCCTCAAGGAATTTGCTATAAAGGGAAGGAAATTAATGGAACAGTAGTGCCGGTTGAGTTTCTTCTTTCTTCCTTCCCTCTCCCCTCCCCCCTTCCTTCCTTCCAACGATTTTATTTATTTATTTATTTGACACAGAGAGGGAGCACACAAGCAGGGGGAATGCCAGAGGTAGAGGGAGAAGCAGGCTCCCGGCTGAGCAAGGAGCCCAAGGCAGGACTCGATTCCAGGACCCTGGGATCATGATGTGAGGCAAAGGCAATCTCTTAACTAACTGAACCACCTAGGTGCCCCCTAGAGTTTTTTCTCCTTAAAACAGGAGAAAAACTAGCATATTTGTATGCTAAAGAATTGATTCCATGGAAAAGGGGTGGGATGGGGGGTGTGGAGAGTTACTGGAAAACTTGATTTCTTAGACATTTAAGACTGGATTTGTCTCCTTATCCTGGAGGGTGTTGTACATACCCTCCAGTTTTAGGTTTTACCTATTCTTCATCTTCCTTTCCAAAACTGCTGGATTAAATAGAGCGTATCAATTAAGTATTCAAAGAATATTTACTGCTACCTCTTGTAACTTGTATAGAGAATTTGATTTCTCCACTTTCCATATCACCACAGAAATCTGATCCAACTTACCAAATGCCTCCATTCACAAATTATTATCCAGCAGTCAAAATGAAGTAATAGAGTTACAGAAAGAAAATGAATGAATCTTAGTAACAAAACGTCGAGTGGAAATGACCAGTGGAAGAAGACCACATATAGCGTGATATCCTTTTTTAGACTGTTTAAATACAAGCAAAATTAAACAATATGTTGCTTAAACATACTATATATGTGATAACATGAATGCAAAAGTACGGAATTTAGGATAATGATGACCTCTAGGAGGAAGACAAGAAGACAGGGAGAAAAGGAGCACATAGATCTAAATCGCTGGTAATCTTCTCGTTCAGTGGTTCTCAAACTTGAAGGTGCATCAGAGTCACCTGGATTGCTCATTAAAACCTGCATGGCTGGGTTCCACCCCTAGAGTAGGTGGGGCGGGGGGCGGGGTGTGTGGCCTGAGACTGTGCAGTTCTGACAAGGTCCCTGGGGCTGCTAATGCTGCTCTTCGTAACCTGGTAAAGACCCGCTTCTGGTTGTTAGGTTGTGGGTTCACAGGCGTTGGATTGCATTTTATTAGTAAGTGAACACAGTATTTAAATGAAAAAAAAAAATAGCCAATCGTGGGCCAAAGATGAGAGTGTTTGACGGAGCGAGGATTAATACCAAGTCTGGTCTCCGGAGGCATACTCTCCATCACTAAAAGCAAACTCGAAAAACTGCTGCTGAAGAACTGCAAGGCCACGTCAAATGAAAATTACTAACAATACTTTGAGAAATAAGGTTGAAGGTCGATTCTTGTCAGTGACGACAGACTGCATTTCACGTCTCTCGAGGGATCTCCGCGATCTTTACCGAACACCTGGCACAGGACAAATCTACCCCCTTGGCTGATGTAACAAGGTTGTGTTTAGGGAGAGGATTTCCATTAGTTTGCCGATTCTTATTCTCCCCTCAAGTGATGAGATAATTATTTTTCTTCTTTCCTCGCACCTCCTTCCAGATTTATTGTGTCCTCTAGGAACTGAGATCAGACTAGGCGGATTTCAGACCCCGCGTCGGCCAGGGTGTCTGTGGAGCGCGCGCCGCGTCCCGCAGGGTGCCGGCCGCTCACCGCCTGGGGTCGGAAAGGTGCCCCAGTGTAAAACTCTCGCTCCACAAGCAAGTCGGCCTTGAGAGGAAATCAGATCCACCAAAACAAATGACAGCCCAAACGCAGGGCACACAAGATGTTACACAAGAGGGACGCCTGGGTGGCTCAGTTGGTTAAGCAGCTGCCTTCAGCTCAGGTCATGATCCTAGGGTTCTGGGATCGAGTCCCACATCGGGCTCCTTGCTCATCAGGGAGCCTGCTTCTCCCTCTGCCTCTGCCTGCCATTCTGTCTGCCTGTGCTCGCTCTCTCTCCCTCTCTCTGACAAATAAATAAATAAAATCTTAAAAAAAAAAAGATGTTACACAAGAATCCCTTTCCTAAGCTCTCCCCAACTCTGTTCCTTTAAGCTATCTTTCCCGCGCGCTGGCAAGTCCACAGCCACAACTGCAGCGGCGGGGACCGAGAGGCGGGGACCGAGAGGCGGGGCGGACCGGGCGGCCGAGGGCCCGCGCTCCGGGCCCCACCCCGTTGGCTTTCCGGCCGGCCGGAAGCCGCGAGACGCCCTGGCTGCGCATGCGCCCCTCCCACGTGCTTCCAGGACGCCGTCTGCGGCGCTGCGGCGGGGCGGGCGACATGCTGCGAGCTTCTGTCCTCCGGCTGCTGGGGCGTCCGGGAGCCAGTGGAGGAGCCTGGCTGCTGGAGTACTCCGGCCCACGCCACTACAGTTCGGGCCCTCTGGGTGCCCGCGACGATGCTGGCGGCGCTCGCGCCTTCTTCACGACACCCATTTTCTACGTGAACGCGGCGCCACACATCGGACACCTGTACTCCGCTCTGCTGGCGGACGCCCTGTGCCGCCACCGTCGCCTCCGAGTTCCCGGCGCTGCCGCCACGCGATTCTCCACCGGTACGGACGAGCACGGCCTGAAGATTCAGCAAGCAGCAGCCGCTGCGGGCCTGGCCCCCACCGAGCTGTGCGACCGAGTGTCTGCCCAGTTCCAGCAGCTTTTCCGGGAGGCCGGCATCTCCTCCACCGATTTCATCCGCACCACCGAAGCCCGGCATCGGATCGCTGTGCAGCACTTCTGGGGACTGCTGGAGGCCCGGGGTCTGCTCTACAAGGGTATCTACGAAGGTTGGTATTGCGCATCCGAAGAGTGCTTCCTGCCTGAGGCCAAAGTCACCCGACAGCCGTCTTCGTCAGGCGGTTCGTGTCCTGTATCTCTAGAGAGTGGGCACCCCGTATCCTGGACCAAGGAAGAGAACTACATTTTCAGGCTTTCTCAGTTCCGAGAGCCGCTTCAGCGGTGGCTGCGGGGCGACCCTCAGGCAGTCACACCCGAGCCATTTCATCGTGCAGTTCTTCAGTGGCTGGAGGAGGAGCTGCCGGACCTGTCTGTTTCTCGAAAGAGCAGCCACTTGCATTGGGGCATTCCTGTGCCCGGGGACGATTCGCAGACCATCTACGTATGGCTGGATGCCTTGGTCAACTACCTTACTGTAATTGGCTACCCAAATGCTGAGTTTAAATCTTGGTGGCCCACCACCTCTCATATCATAGGCAAGGACATTCTTAAATTCCATGCTATCTATTGGCCTGCCCTCCTCTTAGGGGCCGGCATGAGCCCACCACACCGCATCTATGTCCACTCTCATTGGACGGTCTGTGGCCAAAAGATGTCTAAAAGCTTGGGTAACGTGGTGGACCCCAGGACTTGCCTTGATCGCTACACTGTGGATGGTTTCCGATACTTTCTTCTTCGGCAGGGCGTCCCCAACTGGGACTGTGATTACTATGATGAAAAGGTGGTTAAGTTGCTAGATTCTGAGCTGGCAGATGCTTTGGGAGGTCTCCTGAACCGGTGCACGGCCCAAAGAATAAATCCTTCTGGGACCTATCCGGTTTTCTGCACGGCCTGCTTTCCCAGTGAGGCAGGGTTGGTGGGGCCATCAGTTCGTGCTCAGGCAGAGGACTATGCTTTGGTGAACGCAGTGGCCACTTTGCCCCGGCAGGTAGCTGAGCACTATGAGAACTTTCAGATCTATAAGGCTCTGGAGGCAGTGTCCAGCTGTGTCCGGCAAACTAATGGCTTTGTCCAAAGGCATGCACCATGGAAGTTGAGCTGGGAGAGCCCAGTGGATGCCCCCTGGCTGGGTACTGTGCTTCATGTGGCCTTGGAATGTTTGCGGGTCTTTGGAACTTTGCTGCAGCCTGTCACCCCAAGCCTGGCTGATAAGCTGCTCTCCAGGTTGGGGGTCTCTGCCACAGAGAGGGGCCTTGGAGAGCTCTGTTTCTTGCCTCGATTTTATGGACATCCATGTCCTTTTGAAGGGAGGAAGCTGGGACCTGAAACTGGGCTCTTATTTCCAAGACTAGACCAGTCCAGGGTCTGGCTGGTGAAAGCCCATAGAACCTAGAAACTTAGTTCTAATTGGCTTGTAGTAAAAAAGCAAACGTGTTATTTTCTTATTTTGCATTTTCAGGAAAGTCATACTAATGTTTTCTGAAGTGCTGCATCATATGAGCACATAAACAATGTCCCTGTGGAAAGAGATTTGTTGCCTTTCAGGTGCCTACGCCCTACTCTTCAGTTATCTGTGCCCATTAACCACTATTCTTACAGACTGTAAGATGTTTCCAGGGTAAAGATGGGTAAGAGAAAACTTTGCAGATACTGTTCCTTCTCATTGTGCCTCCTTCCAAGCCACAGTTAATGTTATTTGCCCAGACTACCTCTTACGGCTTTTCATTGGTCTGGCTTCTGCTGGGCAAATTAGTGAAGAGTTGGGGTTGGAGGCCCCCTACCTCAGCTTTTAGTAGTCAACTTTGTTATATATGTTGGGTTTCCTATTAGAAAGAGATTCTTTTATTAAACCTTTAAAAACCAGTATCCTAGACGAGGTGGTTTTTGCCCTTGTTTATATTTTCAGTTCTTAGAGCTGTTAACTCTGTACTTTGTTAGTTAATAGTCTAATAGTTGTGCTTTGTAACATTACACTTCAGCCAGTAGATGTCCCTAATGTCTCAATATTTAATTACTTGGCATTGACATTTCAGAATACTTAGAAAAAATTAGTTTTCTGCTTTCTGATTATGCAGAATTTAAACTTAAGGAAAAATTTTATTGCTTTTCTTAAAATAAGGGATAACTGTAGCCACTAGTTTCACCTAAAACAATTAAAAAAAGATCAGAATCCTGTTTGTTTCAAACTACTGAAAAAGGACTTTTACTCTATTAAATGCTTAGTAAGCAATTAAGTAAATGTATCAAATTTGTTTGGACCATCTGTTATAAATTCTAAAGCTCTCGAGGTAGTTGGTATGTTAAAAATTTTAAACTTTAATAACATTAGGTTTACAGATAATGATTAAAAAATCTGTAAACGGTTCAAAATAGTTACATTTTCTTTTTATTTCTTAGTCATAATTTTGTCACCACATAGATAATTTACCTATGATTTCTTTTGGTCAATCAGAATCTATAATACAATATAGACATTGTGTAAGTAGTTTTAAATGTTAATACATTTACTTTCAAGTACTTTTTTTACTTGATTATTTCTTTTGCTTTCTTAAGTTATTAAAGCTTAAAAATTTGTGAGTACCTTATTCAGATCTGTTCTGTTGAATTTGTTGAAGGTGATGGTGCAGGGAGGAAATGATCAGTGCTCCAGGAATCTCATACTGGATTTAGGGATCTCTCCAAGGCTCCATAAGAGAACATCACAGAGAAGATGTTAAGGTATCAATTTATACAGTGACTACAACACAGTAAGCCAGCATTATATCTCATAGGCGATTGGACAGCTAGGCCAAAGTTTAAAATGAGAACTTGCCTTGAAATATCCATTCTAAGCATGGTAGCAAGCAGAGAGGGCTCACTATGAAGTAAACTAGTGTGCTGGAAGTTCCCCCAGATTTATTCTAGGTGCTGCTATTCAGCTCCAGTTTTCGTTTATGAACCAATGTGGTGAGAGATTTCTGGTTGCTTAGAAACACTGCTTAGAAAAGAATGCTTGAAGGCATTCTAAAGATGGAAGGACCATTTCTACAAATGTTCCTTCAGACCCTCCTTATTCTTCATGATGGAATCCTGGTCTTTCCACATGACATATTCTGGTTACCTGCTGGGATTAGTAGGGCTGACTACTGGGGCTGAGGAGGGAGTACAGTATGTGCTAGGGCTGGATGGAGCAGAGTGGTGAAAGGTGACATGTGTTTATATGAATAAACAAAAATGGGCTTGGAAAACCAGTGAAATGATAACCTCTGCCTTTGAAGTACCCTTAGAGCAGTCTTATTAAACCTATCATGAAAGGAGAGGCAGTGTCTTCCACTTGAATGTTCTTTCCTGTGGCCTAGTGCTAGTCAGTACACGGGACCTAGGCTTGCTGGGTGTTAATGGAATTCCTTTTGTGCAGTCTGTCGTTTGTATAGACACTTAACTGGCTACCAGAATATTTGTGATACCAAAGAGCACAAGAAAATAGAGGAACCAAAGAGGAGAGGGCATAATTTAAGAAGATAGGATACTTTGAGTGAAGAAGTATGGATCTGAGTTATTCTGTGGTGCTATGGAAGGTAAATCAGTTGGATCTCTGTTGGAGGCAAGATATAGGTAAAGCCGATAGCCTTTGTGTTCTCAGTTGATGTGTTCAGTTTGATGTAACAGTTTAGGAATGGCAAGTGGAGAATAGGTGAAACTTAAAACTGGAGAGCATGTGCTTTCCAGATAGGACATCTTGTGGATCCCTTGACAGAAAGGACGTTTCTCCCAAATTACAACCTTGAGGCTCTTAATATTCATTTTGGGGTGTTCTTGGGAGGAGAGTTGCAGAAGGTGATAGAGCAGGTGTTCACAAGATGTCACAGTAATCTGTCAACTCAATAGGCTACCCTCCTATCAATGAAATCATGCAAGAAATTGTGGACAATGCATATGTTAGGTGGCAGTGCTGTGTATGGAGAGCCATTCTACAAATGCACTCGTAGATTAGGCTCCTCAGAAGTCTGAAGACTATGGAGGTCAAGAATAGGCAGGAATAATAAATAGATACAATCTCTAGTTTCACTGAAATTTCAGAGTTCTTCTGAAGTAGGCCTCATTATTTTTCTTGACAACCTGTATGACCTCTACAGGGGCTGAGAAAGGCCTGGTAAGTTGAATATTAAGTTGATGTCAAAGTACTCATGAAAGCCTTGGGCTGTAAGGCACACATCTTTTTTTGCACAGTTATAGCTGTGGTTGGGACATAGCTCTTTATTTTTAAGTAATCTCTACAACCAACACGGGGCTTAAAATTATAACCCCAAGGTCAAGAGTCACATGCTCTGAATGAGCCAGCCAGGCACCCCCCCCTTCCCCCTGGAAATAGCTCTTTAGATCTGGGGAGTTCCAAGACTGAAGTAAAGCCAGAAGTTGGTCAGGTTGTGGATCCTTATTATCAAGGAGTATCCTTATTATCCTTATTATATTATCCTTATTATCAAGGAGATCCTTACTATCAAGAAGTAGCATGGGTAGCAGGTGGCAGTACCAAGCATTCAGCAGATTCCTCCTTGGGCATCCAGGTAGGGTTTCCTGGATCTCTGACTGCCCCACACCTAGTAAGTATGTAGTTGCATTGTTGGCCTACATTAGTGCAACCCTGAGTTATGGGGGAGGCATGCCTCTGGACTAAGGACTTAGTCCATAAAACTGCTATGTAATGATCTAAAATTGTCTCTTGGGGGCAATTACCCACTATCCATAATTCTACCAGATACAGATCAACTGTTCTTGTTGGTGAAGTCTTGGGTACTGTAAATTGTGATGGGTCCTTGCCCTCATCTTTTGGCTGAGTGAATAATATGGGTGGACCTATAAGGGTTTGGACATATTGACGGCCATGTGTCTATTTTTGCAGCAAAGGTTTACTAATTCTGAGAACTTGGAGGGAGACAGGGCATAGATTGGGGTAACCAAGAACATAGGGGAATCAGTTTTAGAAGGAAGCCTTTATGTCCCTTGCAGAACTAAAACACTGTGAAATATGTCGTTTCAACACAACAGCTGGGTGGTCCTGATCCTTTGTCGTACAGGAGCTTTGCACAGCATTGGTTAATTTTTATCAGTAGGAATACACCAAATTTGGGGGTTAATATTGCTGGAAGGGCCAAACAGTAACAACCATGCTAATTAAGGTTAGTAAGTGGGGATCTGAATCTTCCAAGAGGAATGTCTTACTCTTTTTTTGAGACAGGGTAAAAGAAACCCAGCTTAAGCTACTTTCCTCTATCACTAAGAACTACTTTGAGCTGAGGGGAAGGGACTAACCAGTTTACTGGTGAAATTGCTGCTTTCTCTTAGTTTTTTGGGAGTCCTGGGTTACCCATTACAGATCCTCTGAATTAAGAGAACCATCTAACAGGGAATAGTTGATCACAGTTAAAATACCCTGTGTAAGATTATATCACATTAATCAGTTTCTATTATATTTTCATGATGAGGAAAGAGAACTGGGAAGAGCTACAGAAGAGAGGATCTTCCTATGGCATTGATAATTAGAAATAATGTACTGTCTACTGTGCCTCTTTTCATGACTAGCTAGTGAGAGTTTTAGCATACTTACCTCTTCGAAGTAAGGTGAGACTAAGTACAGAAGTTCCATCCTTGGCTGTTAACTGAATTTCACCCGCATTTGGTTTATGGCATGGATTACTCACCATAGATTCTGAAGTCCACAGCTCCTCACTTAAGAACGGGAAGGTATGAGATGTCAGGATGTCAGGAAATCAAGTGTGCCATCTGCAAGAAGAAAATTAGAGCTCCAAGGAGAGATGAGCCCTGCCTTCAAGTTATGAAGGGTTTTGGATGAAAAATCTGCAGAGAGCCTGGAAGACTCATTGGGTAAGCTGGAGGGACAGCTCTAGGAGTAACTGGAAATGGATGATGCCACCTTTCTTAGTGTATGGTATGGGGAAAATGGTGCTGTCCTCCCTGTACTACTATTCCTAAGGCCATGCCTTATGCATGTACCCTTCATTAGTTGATAGTCACTGGTTTGTGGGATTTAACATGAAGATGAACCTTCAAAAACCAGTTTATGATTGACTGTTATAGATTAGAATTTGTTTTCTTAGAACATTTAATAAAAATATAACTATACATTTTTCTCAAAATATTTTAAAAAGTGTAATAACTTACTTTGGAAAACATTAAATAAGATAGTTTCAGTAATTTGGCTTCCTTTGAACTAGTCTAGAAGAGTTTCTTGGTTAAAAAGCTATAAATATTAAAAATTTAAAGCTAGTAAGAATGTTACACAGTTTGGGTTAAATCACTAAAATAATACAAGTAGAAGGTATTTCTTTCAAGCTGGATGAAAAATGTTAAAACTCAACCCAATAGAAGATAGGAAGGAGAAAAACAGGCAAAGAAAAATGAAAAATTTGGTAAAAGAAAACCCGTAAGATGACAGTAGAAACAAGTATAATTACAAATATTTTAGAATTGTAATAAACATCATAGGATGAATCTTTCTGTCAAAAGACAGCAATGTTCATGCTTAAATTAAAAAGTTAGCTATAGGGGCACCTGGGTGGCTCAGCAGGTTAAAGCTTCTGCCTTCAGCTCAAGTCATCCCAGGGTACTGGGATTGAACCCTGCATCGGGCTCCCTGCGCACCCCGCCCCCCGGCCCGCGCTTGCCTCTCTGCCTACTTGTGATCTCTGTCAAATAGATAAATAAAATCTTTAAAAAAAAAAGTTAGCTATATGTAATTAAAAGGTATATGCTTGTAAGAGAAAACGAGACATAAAGAAACACTAGGCATATAAATAAACCAAAAGAAAGCTGGTACTATAATATTAATAGTAGACAGTCTATATTGAGAGGGAAAAACATTACTAAAGATAAAGTGAGACTTAATATAAAAGAAATAATGCACCAACAGGTTATAACAATTAGGAACTTGTATGATCTAAGAACATATTCTCAAAAGGTAAAAGGATAAAATTGAAAATAACAAGAAATGTTCAAGTCTGCAAAAAAAATGAAATCACCATTCATGAGTTCAGAGGAATTAGGCAATGAGAAAGTAAAAACTTAAACTGGATATTAGTACTTCAGTCTTTAATGCTCACTACTAAGTGTATCATTACTGTAAGTATAGAAAAAAAATTTTATAGCAGGTAAGGTTTCTGACTCTAAAACTTTGACTTTTTCCATATATGCCTCTGTGAAAATAACTTGCCTTTTAAATAGAAATGTCAGCAAATATATCTGTTCAGTAGGTCCTCTCTTTGGATTAAAAGGGGAGAATATCATGGTCATAATTTTGCCACATTTTTTTGTTACTAGTTCACAGTAACAAAGGTGAAGGGAGAGAACCAATGGTTCTATGTTCCTTGATTGTGTTCTTTCATTTTCTTTTCCCATCAACCCTGAAGTATTTTTCTTTCTTTGTTTAGTTGAGGCACAGAGAGATTAAGTAATTTGGCTAAGGTTATAGTTTGTAAAACGGAAGAGCCTGGACTCGGATTTCTCTTGATGTCAGAGCTATAGCACTAACACCACAACGAACATAATCAATCACTGAGTATACTAAGGGCATTGTATAGTGGGGAAGAGGAAGTAGTATAATTAGAGCCAAAGATGTGAGGATGAAAAGTCTAAATAAGAACCTTAATTAGGGGCTCCTGGGTGGTTTAGTGGGTTAAGCCTCTGCCTTCGGCTCAGGTCATGATCCCAGGGTCCTGGGATCGAGCCCCCCATCGGGCTCTCTGCTCGGCAGGGAGCCTGCTTCCTCCTCTCTGCCTGCCTCTCTGCCTGCTTGTGATCTCTCTCTCTGTCAAATAAATAAATAAAATCTTAAAAAAAAAAAAGAACCTTAATTGAAAAAAAAAATGATTCAGGATGAGGAATTATTCTTAATAGCTAGGTTATGAAATAGATTGAGTGCCAAAACATGAACTTAGAAAAAATACTTAACCTTTATCATGAAATATATTTCTCTCTTGCTTTCATCATGAAATATATATTTCTCTTTTGCTTTCAGTAGTTTCCTTTATATCCTAAACCTGCTTATATGTGCTGGTGTAAACTGTTAAAAGTTTTAAATAACTATAGTCTCCTTTTCTTTTTCCTTAAGATTATTTTGTTGTTTTCAGAACACTGGTCCAAATTCTTGAATCCAACTGTTCTCTAAATGAAAGTATGCTGTCGTAAGTTTATGAATCTAAGTATTTTGAGATACCATTTTACTAATACACATTTATCTCTAAACATGTAAACATACCCATATTCAAAAGTTTTATTTGAATTGACTATTAGAGTAACGAAGCCAGAGAATTTTATTAGAGCTTACAAACACTGAAACTTTTTCATTTCATACATACAGTTTTAATACAAGCGAACTTATGAAAAGACTCATCTATTTACTAACAATTTAAATTCTATGAATTTACTGAACATTTATTGCTATATTCTTAGGTCTTTCCTAACAAGCCTGCAGAAACCATAAATGCCTTTTGGCTCCAGTTGTTACCAAAGCAAATACCACTCTGTTAGCTAAAATGCCACATATTGAATAATTCCTGGTAAATTATCTCATACATGACCATCAAGACATGTTCTAACTTCCCCTAATTAGAGATTTTATTATGAACTGCACAAAAAATGTCATATTTTGCATTTTTAATGATATGTACCATGTACCTATTATATTGGACATAAGCTACACCTTGAAGAAGTGTGATGAAACCCATGTTTATGTAGATCTCTACCATTTAAATTGTATTTTTAAAAAGGTATAAAAAAGTATTAAAGTCCTTGCTAACTTGGAAGCCAAGAACACCTACATCTATATGTTTAAGCAATTTCT